TCTCTCTCTCTCTCTCTCTCTCTCTCTGTCTCATTGTGTCATATGGATTACTGTTAATTTATTATGTTGATCTGTTCTGTACGACATCTATTGCACGTCTGTCCGTCCTGGAAGAGGGATCCCTCCTCAGTTGCTCTTCCTGAGGTTTCTACCGTTTTTTCCCTGTTAAAGGGTTTTTTGGGGAGTTTTTCCTGATCAGCTGTGAGGGTCATAAGGACAGAGGGATGTCGTATGCTGTAAAGCCCTGTGAGGCAAATTGTGATTTGTGATATTGGGCTTTATAAATAAAATTGATCGATTGATTGATTGAAAACACATAGGCCACGCCCCCTTTTGAGGAACAGTGTTTTCTCGTCTCGTCATCGTTCTGTGACCTGAACGTTACCGTGTAATCACTGTCTTGTTCCCTCTGTCATCCCCTCTAAGGTTCTACTGGGTTCTACATGTCAGTCATACCAGGTTCTACTGGGTTCTACCTGTCAGTCATATTAGGTTCTCCCAGGTTCTACCTGTCAGTCACGTCAGCTTCTACTGGGTTCTACCTGTCAGTCACACCAGATCCTACTGGGTTCTACCTGTCAGTCACACCAGGTTCTACTGGGTTCGACCTGTCAGTCACACCAGGTTCTACTAGGTTCGACCTGTCAGTCACACCAGGTTCTACTGGGTTCTACCTGTCACTCACACCAGATTCTACTGGGTTCTACCTGTCAGTCACACCAGGTTCTACTCGGTTCCACTTGTCGGTCACACCAGGTTCTACTGGGTTCTACCATTCAGTCATACCAGGTTCTACCGGGTTCTACCTGTCAGTCACACCAGGTTCTACCTGTCAGTCACATCAGATTCTACTGGGTTCTACCTGTCAGTTACACCAGGTTCTACCTGTCAGTCACATCAGATTCTACTGGGTTCTACCTGGTTCTCTGGGTTCTCCCTCTGTGTCAGTGGGTCAATGATCCATCACAGCAGCTGGTTCCTGATGCTGGGGGCCATCATGTGACATTTCAGCACAGCAGAGTTTAAAATCAGTGACACAGGAAACGTGTCATCATGATGTCAGAATGTTTTTATCAACAGATTTTAAACAAAAACAATGTAAAGTCAAAACTTAATAAAAATTCTGAGAATCAAAACAATCTCGTCCAGGCCTGAAAACTGTTTTTACAACTTCACAACTTTAACAGGAAGTTCATGCCTGAGGGTCTCTGTGGTACTATAGGTGTTCGGCTGTAGTTCGGCTGTAGTTCAGGACTGAGTCGTGGCTGTTGACAAACAGGAAGTCGTCACTTTCCTTTCTTCATTTTGGACACCTTGTCCCTCCTCTTCTTCACGTGTTTGGGTACTTTGTGTTTCCTCTTCTCCCTCTGAGTCTCCTTTACCTTCTTCTTCTTCTCCTGAAATGACGGAAACATTCAGAGGACAGACACACAGACACTCGTTCACATATCTGAGGACACGACAGAGACTGATAAACACCTTTTTGTCCATCTGGGCTTCATCCCCCTGCTTCTCCTGCTCCTCCTCCTCCCCCCGCTCATCCTCTTCCTCCTCCTCCTCTGAGGATGATGATTGTGATGAAGGCTGGTCATCCTCCAGCAGAGCCGGAACCTGAGGAGACGTCACACAGTCACAACAAAGATGTGTCAATGCGTATCCATGGCAACACTGTGCACATGTAAGGGTGCAGTGGTAAATCCAATCAGAGTGCTGCTGCCTGAGGTTCAACTGGATGTCACAGTGCTGACGTATTGCGGTAAGCGTGTTGTGTCATTTCCGGTGTTTCTGTGACAGCGTCTCTGTACTGCTCTAATGAATTCTACTAGCCTGCTTTCTGCTTTCTCACTTCAGTTTCTTAACATCTACTTCAAGTCTTAACCCACACTAGTTATGTTTAAGCAGTTATAGCTCTCCTCTATGTAACGACTCTCTTGCTAATCTCTTAGCTGTTGTTTGCACGCTCTTAGCCTTGTTAGCTACATTAGCTTAGCGATGGCTTCTCCCTCTGCTCTTTCTTGATCGGTGTGCCAAATGTTCAGTTATGCCTCTGCCTCCTTTAGCGACAGTGGTAACTGTAACAAGTGTAGCTTATTTGCTGCATTGGAGGCGAGGCTTAGTGAATTAGAAGTGCGGCTCCACACCATGGAAAATTATTCAGTAGCTGCAGTAGTTAGCCAGCCCCCTGTAGCCGGTGCGGAGCCACATAGCATAGCCTCTGCTAGCGGTCCTCTGGTAACACCTGTGCAGCCGGGAGGCTGGGTAACTGTTCGTGAGAAGCGCAGCTCCAAGCCGAAGCCCACGGCTCACCACCAGCCTGTTCACGTTTCCAACCGCTTTTCCCCACTCAGCGACACACCCGCTGAGGATAAAACTCTGGTTATTGGCAGCTCTATTCTGAGAAACATGAAGTTAACAACACCAGCGGCCATAGTCAAATGTATCCCTGGGGCCAGAGCGGGCGACACTGAATCAAATTTAAAACTGCTGGCTAAAGCTAAACGTAGATTCAGTAAGACTGTTATTCACGTCGGCGGCAATGACACCCGGTTAC